CCCCCCCCCCCCCCAATTCTGAGGCCTGGCGCCGCCACTGCTGTTCGCAACAAGTTGCTACGACTACGAGCCTGTCATCAACTTGTTAACAACTTGTACGTGCATACGACATCAGACTTGTTGCAACAACTTGTTGTGAATCTGTTGGCCTCATCAACCTTGTTACAAGATGATAACAACTTGTTCCAGACTTGTCAACAACTGGGAACAAGCATGCAGTGCGAATACATATTTTTGACAAGCTGTGAGAAAACGACAGCTGGATACGAAGGATATACAACAATATACGAACTGAAAAATATAGAACTAGAAACTAAGGATAAAATCCTATTAAGGGGCTGGTTACATGGGGAGTTTTCAGCCCGGGCTGAATTTCAACCCGGTTAACAGAGCTGAAATTGTTTCATGACACGTTCGCAAGGTGAAGATGTGTTCGCACTGCTTGTTCCCAAGTTGTTGACAAGTCTGGAACAGGGTTGATGAGACAATGTGAATTATATCATTCAGAAGTTCTCAAGAATGAGGTGATAAAATAATTGAGGTTATGTGCACTTTAACCGCGTATTTTTATTTTATTTTCAGAGGTAGAAACATTTCTGGATGACCTATCCATGGCTGAACTGCCACAAAACTTCAACATGCGACGGCAAAAACTCGAATCCAAAGTGAAGATGCTCCGAGCAAAATATCACCTGCACTTACACAGAATGTCTTTAGCCTCGCTACGGTTTGCGTGCGATCCTTTTCCGAAAGATCTCGAAGTTAACAAGCGACCTCGTTCGCTGACGTCACCCGATACCATGACAACGTATCTCCCGGACGTACCGGAAGAGGAGGAGGCGTCTTCTCCGGGACCTGAGGCGAAAATATTGGACCAAAGCATCGTTATATGTGATGATAATGAAAATATTATCGATGGTCTACGGCCGCGTTCTGCATCTTTTCCATTGACATTGTAAAATATGGTTTAGGATTAGGTTTTCAAACTGGAATCTATTGGTGGGGCTCTATCAGTGAACTCTATAGGTAAACTGGAACGATAACTTCCTTTGATCGGTTGAGCCAAGCTGCGTGGGATAAATTAACTTTCAAAAGGACTAGGGAGAGTTTGAGGAGCGGGAAATTCAGTCAAAACTCAAAAGTTTGATTTTGAGCAAAAATTAGCAAGAAAAAGTACTTTTTAATTGTAAAGATTCAAATCTAGTTTTCTGGATAGTCAGTATTTTACATCCACTAACAGCAAAAACCTCCTGGGTAACAGTTTCCTATTCAAAATATTACACAAGTTTGAACGTACCGAAAAAAACTTCGCACTTTGACTCCTGAGAAAAGATCTTTAAAACTGCTCTACGTTTCGGAAACATGTTTTGTATTAAATTTCAAGTATTGTTCAAAGTTTTTAGCGTTTTTCCTTGTTGAAATACAGCTATTTAGTGCTCGAAAACAGATGTCTTTTAGGCGGCGTATTTTCCAACATGGCGGCCGTCAATTTGGCTTCCAAAGATGGCCGGCCAAGTTATCGTTCCAGTCCTTTTAGAGTTCACTCGGCTCTATCAGAGCAATTTGGAGTTTCGACTGGCCATCCAAATGACGTGTTCTCAACTGAGCCCAAATTGCAGATGGGTCATAGCATGTAGCTTAGGGATTGGTGGATTTTTGGGACACCCTGCATTTTCTAACTTAAAAGCAAGTCAACCATGGGGAAACTAACTGATTTTTGAGCAATTTTTGCTGATAATCACATCATGATTGAACAGTTGAACAATTTCATATTCTAATTCTTCCAATGTCAGCCTAATGTTATAGTTCAACGGCCATTTGCACGTGCCCCTCATTTTCTGGACAGTAGTAATGTACTAAATAAATTGCGTCAACTGGCCGACGCATCATTTGGATGCGCAGTCGCAACATTGGTCTATAAGTATTACACAGAACAGCAGTGGTACTACACAGGCGTGCGGGCGGTTATAGAAGGAACACATCTCTCTATACAGACTCGCGAAAATACAAAGTGAATCTTTAAACTATAAATAAAAATATAGAACCATATTTATGAATTTTTCTGGGATTTCATTCTTGAAAATTCATCGAAAACTCCTTAATACATCCTTTCTCGTACATGGGTAAATATCAAGATTTTGTAGTGCCATCTCCAGGGACGCCGGAACTGGGGGGGCAGGAGGGGCAGCCGCCCCCGTTGCCCTTTACCAGGAGGGGCAAGGGGGGCAAAGGTGCCCTTTCAATTTAAAGGATTGCCTTGGTGAAATAGCGAATTGTCAGAAATGTTAGTGCAATTCGTTTACGAATTTGATTCAGAAAACGCAAGAAATGCAGTCATCGAGCTTCAAGAATAGCACAATCGCCTGGCGGAGAACCCCCTCACACCCCTATCATCCAATAAATAGCAAATATGATTAGGTGAAGTTCAACTCCCGATGTGTTGCAAAAATCTCTTAGTATATATCAATTCAAAAGTGCCCTTTCACGAAAATCTGCCCCCTTGCCTTCATATCGTTCCGGCGTCCCTGGCCATCTCCCTCGATTGAGTACATACATACATACTTACATACATGACTTTATTTAAACATGGAGAACCATCAGTACATAATTATGATAATTAGCTATTTACAAATAAAAACAATTAATATAGGTTAAGGAATTAATTAAGGAAGAAGACAAGATTGAAGGGAAGAAGGAGAAGAGGTACTGTTCTACTTGGTTGCCGTGTGGGAGTCGGTAATACTGGAAGAATATAGAGATTTAATCTAAGAGATTCAGGCAAGCTGTTCCAAAGTGATGCTCCACTATAACTGAACGAGTGCTTAAGATAATCAGTATTGGGCTTAGGAATAAACAACTTGCCATTAGAATTTCTTAGTGAATATTGACAATTCCTGGATGAAAACAATTCTTGTAAGTACTGGGGAGATTGACCATTAAGAGTTTTAAACATAACAACAGCTTTTTGTTTATGACGGTTAATTGCAGTTTCTTGGTCAATGTCATTTGACAAAACTGGGGGGTTCGGGCGTCCGTTGACATGGTCCCCCGGGAAATGTTTCTATTTTTAAGGAAAGCCAGAGATTTGGTACATTTTTTGTAATAGATGAACGCATTACGAGATCACGCCTCTCAGTTTTGGACGAATTATAAAATTGATCCTGAAGAAAAGTGTGTGGGGTTCTGGACCCTACCCCATTCACAGATCTGTGACTGACAGGTGAAATAAACAGTGTTCGCACTGCTTGTTCCCAGTTGCCTGACAAGTCTGGAAGAAGTTGTCAGCAACATTAAGTTGTTCCAACAAGACTAATACAGGCGTTGTCGTCAAATTGTTAACAACTTGTTTCGTGCAGACGATATCAGACTTGTTGCAACAACTTGTTGCGTGTCTGTTAGCTTCATCAACCTTGTTACAGGACGATAACACTCGTTCCGGACTTGTCAACAACTGGGAACAAGCAGTGCGAACACATCTTCAGACCTGCCAACTCTCACGATTCCACCGTGTGTCACACAATTTTTGTAGATTTCTCACGGTCTCACGATATGACTCGGTTTTCTCACGATTTTAATTCTTTATTTCATTTCTTGCAATTTACTTTGTCACCTCTACTTTAGTTTGAAACTAAGATTTTGTTCAGACAGAAATTACTTGTTTATAATTCTTAAATTCCAGGATTTTTTATTTTCATTAGTTGAAGTAAAGTTAAGTCAGAAATTCCGAAAAAATACATTAGTTTCGGGCCAGAAGGTGTAGTTAGTTTTTGATATTTTTTGCAGCCTAATGCATAAATTATATAAATTATGCATCACATCGCTCTATATAAATTCAACATAGTGTCAATGAAGTTCTTATTCAACAGTTTTTCCTACAGGATTCACTGTATTCATAAACGTACTGTAAATGTTAAATACAGTCAAATTAATTCATTCTCACTACTTTTTGTGAAATCTCCAGATTTTTTATAACTAGAGAAGAAAATCTCCAGATTTTTTACTCTCTCAGGTTGGCAGGTCTGCATCTTGTTCACAAGCTGCAGGGACGCCGGAACTGGGGGGGCAGGGGGGGCGGCTGCCCCCCTTGCCTTTTGCTAGGGGGGGCAGGGGGGGCAGAAGTGCCCTTTTAGCTGTAAAATAATACGTGATAAATCACATTTCCAACGATGCTTTTTGTAGGAAAATCACGAGATTCAGGTAATTTATAGTTTATATTTATAAAAATTTTGGGAAATTTTTGGAATTTAGAAAAATATTTTGAAGAAATGGCGAAAATTTAAGATATCCGGAAAAATTTTTGGCTTCACGGAAAATTTTTGTATGTCCGGAAAAAATTTTTGACCCCTAAAATGGTACACTGACCGAAATTTTTTTGGGACGGGGGGGGAGGTCGCCAAAAAATTTTGCAGTGAAAAAAAAAATTTCAGTACAGGTGCCCTTGGTGTGCGTCCGCCCCCCTTTGCCCTATTATCGTTCCGGCGTCCCTGACAAGCTGTAAGATTTTTATACGCCTGTGCACACGTAAAAACGCGCAAGTTGTTACAGGTCTTCAAACAAGTTTTTACCAATCTATTCACAAGCTGTCGACAAGTTGTGTTCGCACTGCTTGTTCCCAGTTGTTGTAAAAGGTTTGAAACAAGCTGTTAATTAACAACTTGTAACAAGCTTGATGGCATTATCAGACTTTGTTCTAACAACAACCTTGCAACAAGTCTGATAATGCCAACAAGGTTGTCACAAGTTGCATGTTAACAGCCTGTTCCAAACTTGTTGACAACTTGGGACAAGCAGTGCGAATACAACTTGTTGACGGCTTGTTGGCAGACGTGCTACAAGTCACAAGATGTGAGATTTTTACGTGTGTAGTTTGATCACAAACCACGACGGCTTAATTAATGAATACTGACCTCGTGACTTCCAATTCACCAAATAGATATGTATATTTATTCAAAGTAACCAATAGGATGTATGCATGGCTGGTCATTGCGGTATTTGGTATGTAAAATAATTCACCAAGGGTTAAGGGTCACCATAAATACATGTTGGGCAATTCGTGTCCTATGCTTTATAAATCACGTTCGGTTGCCTGTATTTCGTGTGAAATATGGCTGCAAGAGGAGCACACGACGAAAAAACACAACTAAACAACAATCCAGCTAACTATGAAACGCTTAAAGATCCCAGCACTGGTATGAGCTTTATATTTTATACATATGAGTAAATGTTTATAGTATTAATAGACAGAGCTAGTTGTGTCAGAAATGCTTGCTTTCTGTGTACTTGTGCTAGTTGGTATGAACTCTACATATATGATGGGGCACTTTTACTAGTTTCGAACAGTTTATTGCATGTATAATGGTTATTTGCTAGACCTAGTATATATAAATGCTGGCGAAGTGGCATCGAAATTATGTTCTGTTTATAACTAATATTAATATACAGTCCTTGTGTCTGAAAAGTTCCTTTGTATAATATACTGGCCTTTAATTATAGTTGTTCATTTAAAGCTGTATAGACTGTAATTTATAGCAAACATACATCAGACTAGTTTCATATAGCTACATTTCATGGTATTGTAAAAGCGCCATGGCCCATGGTCTTCGATTCTATACAGTCTTGTGTTTGATATATCATATATGACATGTGACATGCCGGTTCGTTCAAGTTGATTTCGAAGCATACATGCATATATCACCACATTGAAACTACAGGCGCATATGGCAGTGCCATCCGATGCAGTGGTTAAGTTAATACCATGAATGAGCTAGGCAATGTTTACCCTTCATTATTGTAGTAATCTTACCACAAGACTTATGAGTTATGTTTAGTGTCTGGAAGATATAATTCATATAAGAGATATAATTTAATTTGATTAATTAAATTTAAGATTTGCTGTCATGTATATCTGAGCATACTGAAAGTAGCTAGTCGACTATACTCGTATTTTGACGCTGTTGCTGCTGTTGAGCTTTGAAATTTCTAGCCGGGCAGTAATGTTTATACTCGCGTCGTGAACTACGCCGGATATTAACAACAGGTCGTGCTGCCTAATATTGAAAGTTTTTATTTTGAGCACATTTTTTCCCCTTGCATATACAGTATTTGCAATTTTCAGAAAACGTCACGGTGCATGGTCAAATGGCCAAATTCCAAATTGTTGACAGGTATACTGTAGGAGCAAAAAAAAATTAATCTGCATCTCTTAATTCTATTTATTTACCTCTAAATACAAAATCGCTACATGTAATGAAAGCAATGACATTATTTTCTCACTGATAACTGCAGGCTGACTCCAGAGCTATAAGTGGACACTATAGGACGCACAAGGTCTAGGACGAATTTGGAGCAGTACCGAAATTTGTACGGATTCGTTCGGCTCTTTCGTCAAATGGCAAATTATCTACCACATCAGGGCACTGCACGCGGTCGATTACTCCCAATTCCGACTAGTATTTATGAAACAAACAATCTAAACAAACAAACAGAAACGGAAAGAAATTTGTGCAAAACTTGTATTGAACACTGTCTGTGTCTTTGTACGTTATCGGTACTTTCTTTATAACCATAATCATAGCCCTAAACAATAGGATTCTTAAGTCCAGGTCACACTACACAATCTACACAATATACAGTATAGGGACCTTAATTGGAGACCTTACGATTTTAGGACGGCAACGCGATGGCAACGGCTACCAATACAATAGATCATTGAAAAGAATTGAGTAATTACAATATGAATAATTTAGACATTCATGTCCTCGCTCTGTTTACAACGCCAAATCACAGATTTTCACGTCTTGATACAACGGCTGCATTCCAAGCCACAACAAGTGCAACTTCAAACTGGGTTCAGCAGAACTCTTCCCAACTATAAAACCCATGTATTCAACTTCTGAGACTGTATTAAATTCATACGATTGATAATATAGACGAACTATCTTTACTACCATTTATTTGAAGGAGTTTGTTTTGGCCGTCGCCGTCGCGTTGCCGTCCTAAAATCGTAAGGTCTCTAATAAGCGTACGACGGCAACGCAACGACAACAGCCAAAACAAACTTCTTCAAATAAATTATTGTGAAGAAGAGTTGTTGTGTATTATCCACTGCATGTATATATGAATTAAGTTCAGTTTGAAGAAATTAAAACAAAGGCTTTATGGTTAAAAACGCTTCTGCTGAGCAAATTTGTAGTTTCACTTGTCGCGTCTTCACATGTTTGCGTTGTACGCGAGACGTGAAAATCTCTGTTTTGCCGTTGTAAAAAGCACTAACACAAGGCGTCTCTAACTCCCGTGGGGCTTTTAAGTTAATTATTCATTCTTTTAATTATTCAAACACTCTCCAATTCTCTACAAAGATAATTAGGCTATACAGGGTGTATCAAAAAAAGCGCAACCTCGGAATTTCCCATGAAATCCACATAGGCGCCTGGGAATTTAAAATAGCACAACTGTCAAAATTACTGCACACGCGAGTGCATAAAGCAAAATTTATGCATTTATTTAATCACAACAACAGTAATATGATCTATTAACAATCCGATTTCAATTCCCAGGGGCCCAAAATCTTTTATGCTTAAGAATTGCAAAGTGATTTCTTAGGAAATTCCGAGGTTGCGTTTTTTTTGATACACCCTGTAGTATAGTATTGTTTAGAGTAAAAAGTACGAGATCAGGAATATCATTGCGGTGTGAATAGCCGTCGTCGTCGCTATTGTGATAACGATACGATAACTTGTAAACACGCAAAGATTGGTAAAAAATTACACTACAACGAAAACGATAAAATTATCGTTTGACGATAACGATAACGATTTTAAAATGCTCACCCGAGCATTTTTTTTTCAGACGGACGATAAAGATAACTAAGTTATCGTATCATTAAACTAGTGTGATCGGGCCTTTAGTAACTTGTTTCTCGTAAGCAAATAAAATGAAATTATTTCTCAAATAAAAATTGAAAGCCGATCGTTTTCGATTCATCGAGTGTCGTCTTGAAGTACCGCGGCACGTTTAATGATCAATATATTTAAGTACAGAATGAGAAGAACATTCTGATAACTCGGTACAAGGCGTACAACCATTTCCAGATTTCTGGAATGGATGATTATAGACTAAATATAGGCAAGAAGAACAAAATCCATCACCACAGCTAGAAAGAGCATGTTAAAATTAGTAAAATTGCAAAGCATGGTTTGGTTGCAAAATGTTGTAAAATGCGGAAAATATAGCCCTGCGAAATTTGCAAATCAGTTGTATTAATTTGTATTACGCACGGGAAAATGCACCATGGCACTTTCGGCCCAAATGTGGTGCATTTTCCCGCGCATAATACAAATTAATACAAAATTTGTAAATTTCGCAGGGCTATATTTTCCGCATTTATAAATTTTACAACATTTCACGGCCAAACTTTGCAATTTTACTAATTTTAACATGCTCTTTCTACAGCTGTGGTGATGGATTTTGTTCTTCTTGCCGAGATCAAAATTTAGTCTATAGCTGGAATCATCTATCACCGTTTTTGACTCAATTCCTCGAAATTCACAATGAAAATATAAAGGCGTGGACCTCTGGGCGTGGACTATTATAGATATCATGGGAAAAGGGGGAGGCAGACCCCCTAGCCAGGCAGATATAGAAGGAAAAAAACTTACCATATCCTGATATCGAGGGGCAATTCCATTTTTCCTTCATCTTGTGCTTTGAAAGCTAGTAAGTACATTTAAGTTGGCGGCATCAATCATAATATGTCGGTAGGCTCTTGCCAACATGTTTTTCTTCGAATTTTGTTACAGTTAAAAAATGTGAAATTTCAGATACATTTCTAATGCAAATTACTTGCATCAATAGAAAGTTTACAAAAAACTGCATATAAGGCATTTAAGTGGTTATTGCTTGGATTTTCAAGCAGGGGCGGCGGAACAGATTTCATTTTGGGGGGGCTAAATTTTTTTTCCGTGACCTCCCCGCCGTCGCCAAAAAAATTTCGGTCAGTGTACCATTTTAGAGGTACAAAAATATTTCCCGACATATACAAGAAGGGATGAAAAATTTTTTTCCGGGACTATAACTAAAAATTTTTCCGGACATACACTATTTTAAAACAAAATATTGCAAATTTTTCCCCTAAAACCTAAATTTTCAAAAAATACCCTAAATTTTTCCTTAATTATTAAAATTTTTCCAGAAAAAACAAAATTTTCTTTTACTTCTGGGTTTTCGAGTTATTGCTGTTCCAGATGTGAAAAATAAGCCAAAATCTCGCAAAAATCCGCGGTACTAGTCTGAAAACACACTTTCAACAGCTCATAACTCAAGAAGAACTTGAAAAACCCTGCCAGTAACCGTTTAAATGACTTCTGTGTAGTTTTTTTTGCAAGCTTTCAAAATATGTAAGTCATTTTTGTTAGAAATGTATCTGAAATTTCACATTTTTTAACTGTAATAGAGTTTAGGGACCGGTCATAAAGTAACTGCTAGGGTGGGCTGGAGTGATTTGGGATGGGCCATGGAAAATCTTTGGGCAGTTTCGATGGGCCGCTTTTGTATGTCCTCGGTTGGGCCACCAAACAAAAACCCATGCATGTCTACTTCGAAAAATAAAGATATTAATAATAAAAGTAAACAAAACTATATCCAAATTATCAAATGCAAATGATGCTATTGAAGCCAGTACTCTGTTTACACAACAAGAAGTGGTCGAATCATAGCAAATACAACCAACTGGAGAGCAGCTCAGTATCAATGTGTTGGTGAAACTTGGTGGAATTATGTATGTCAATACAGTGCCGTGTATATTTGCAATGTTCATACCTGCAAGTTTTTTTATTATAAAAGTATATTTTTCCAATTTAGATTGGGTGGGTCATGAAAAATGTTTTGTAAGATTAGATGGGCTTTGAAATTTTTATCTACATCCTAAGATGGGTCACCAAACTTATTGGCAAAATTTGTGATTTACCTCCAGCCCACCCATAGCAGTTACTTTATGACCAGTCCCTTAATACAAAATTCGAAGAAAAATGTGTCGGCAGGAGCCGACAAGAAATTTTAACGCCGCCGACATACAAAAACGAAACTTACTAGCCTTCAGGGCACAATATGGAATTGCCCCTCGATATGGTAAGTTTTCCATAATTTTTGTTCCTCTATCTGCCTGACTACCCGTGGAAAGAGTGGAATTTCCACCACCCCCTAGCACCAGTACAGCCTCATTGTTGGCCCTACTGGACTAGTACATACATTTAACACGTGCATTAATGTTAAGTGCTGCACAAAATGCACCAGCGCAATCAATTTATTCAAAAATCTTTGTATAATTTTCCGCTCAGTCGGAAACGTACACCCGACAAACACTTCAAAATGATGACATTCTCGCAGGGAAGCTGCTAGTCGTTTGTAGTTATTTATGGGAAATATTTCAGACAGAACTTCAGGGGTTGCGAATAACAACCCTGAAGAATACCAAGGAGTTCGGTATTCTCCAATGCCGGGTAATAAAGGTAAGCTGTGTCGCTAAACTCATAAAACTGTCCAGATATGCATCGCTGAGCAACGAACACCGTTGTTTATGTCTTAAGCCTGATAGGGGGAAAATTTGTTAGACAATGTCAATGTGTCTGGTTTGTTTGTGTTGATGAAACCGTGGATTGAAGTGACAGATTGTTGAATTGCTAAAATTATACCATGCAAAATGCATTACGCGGTTGCCATGATTTGTGTCCGAAATATCCGAGAAAGATATCTCAAACGTGGTGGTTCACTGTATGTGGTCATGGTACAATAAGCTGCCATGCATGGTATGGGTGTGAACTACTTGAAAAATATATCTCAAACATGGTGGTTCAGTACAGATCGTGTCTTCAATACGTTATCGTGGTTTGTGTTTGAACTACCTGGAAAAGATATCTCAAGCGTAGTGGTCTAGTGTATAGGTAGTATTCTAGTATATAAGCTGCTGTGGTTTGTGTCTGGTCGAGTGTGGGTAGTATTCTACAATAAGCTGCCATGCATGGTAATAGCATATTGTAGAGTACTCCTGCACTGGACTACTACCACGTTTGTATATCTTTTTCAGGTAATTCAGACACAAACCGTGACAGCTTATTGCAGATACTACCTGCACTGGACAACCACGTTTGAAATATCTTTTTCAGGTAGTTCAGACACAAACCACGACAGCTTATTGTAGAATACTACCTACACTTGTCTTGTAGCATGTTATATATACTGCTTATCAGTGTCATTGTAAATATTTGTGACAATAATACATTGGACCACCAAGTTTGAGATATCTTTTTCAGGTAGTTCAGGCACAAACTTACGACAGCTTTATATTGTAGAATAATACTACCTACACTGGACACGTTTAAAATAAGGAAGCACAATATTATATGGAATTGCTTCCCACTTTTACAGTAATTTGATTGGCATTACTTTACCACACAATAAAAAGAGGGTTCTGATGAAGGGGGGCAAATTAGGCTACCGTGCAAAAGTTTAGCTAGTAATATCATTGAATCAGATTTATGTCAACAGGTTAATCTATGATAATCTCTTCGGTAATACCAAGGTGGGAACACTTCCTATATGACCGAAAACATCCTATAGATATTAAAGCTGTGTTTCAAAAATGACGAGCTTTTTACATTTATAATATTTTCTGGATTAAATATTTAGATTTTAAATATAAAGTCCTTTGTTTCCCAAATTATCGAGGTATTTCAAAAACTCTTTGCAAGCTTCGAGAATAATACCATAGGTGCAGCATTGTATATATAATTTATTATGAACTTTGTCTTTGAAGTACGCCCCATGGCAATTCTCTTGTGTATCTATAAACGTCATACTGATCATTTCGAAAGTCCGTGATTATTTTTTTATGCACAACACGAGATACGAATCGGAAGTGTCGAATATCAAATGTTATCGAGTTCAACCAACGGCACTCCCATAGGCATAGACGCATAGTTTTCGTTGTGAAAGAAGAATTAGGAACCAGGTTTCGCCTTTAACTTGGGCAAATTGATGCCAGTTTGGTCTTGTACTTAAAGTAAGATATTGTTGAGAATGGAACTGGAAGAAAGTGGTACGCAAGGAAAAGGTAAAAGTTTAAAATCGATTTGTTTTTGAGACGATTTGCTCAAAGAAGCAGCGGGAAATCGCATCACTGTGGTAACAACACAAATATACTATACATTCTAAATGATAGAATCGTCTCGTCTTTCGAGTGTTACACTTCTGTGTATATACCAATGTAATGTATAGGTTTATACTGGTATAAAATCGTTTTGTTTTAACGACATGTGGTCAGACAAACAGGGAATGTGTATAAAATATACAATGCAGTGCACAGTGTCAGATTGACAGTCTACATGTACGCACCGCGGCTACCACATGGCATATGACATACAGCTTTTCAACTAGTATTCCTAATTAAAACTCCTATTAAAGAATAAAGTAGCAACCTCGTTCCCAGAGAATGACGCTCTATAATTAGTCTAATGCAAAGACCAAACGAAAGCCTCCATTATAAATACTGTATTAATTAAAACACAATTCAGTTGATTGTATAAACAAGTCTTTGCTTTGGTAGTGAGAGAACGCTCTGGTCTAGTCTCGAGTATATATTTCAGTGACTAATGCTTGTAAGAATGTCCTATCATAGACCTGCCATCATATCATGTACTATTTGCTATTTGTCATGTAGTATTCGTATATGTAGTGTAAAAACATAAAACCATTTCAACTGCATGTGCAAAAACAGTCTATATATTAGCTATATTGTTACAGGCAGCATCGTATTTTCCAAATATTCCTTATCAAGGATTAAAATTGCCTGTATATAGCGATGTAGAATGGTCTAGCACCCAGCTCATTTGCAAACCTATAAAACATTGTCATTGAATTTCAAACACATACGACGATTCACATCACTAAACAATTAAAGGTCACAAGACCTTTCAAGTGACAAACCACAAATGACCTTATCTAGGCAACAGTCAGTATTGTGTTGCATTATAATATATATGCAGAATCTTTGAGGGTTTTTTGTCTCGTTGTACACAATTTCAACTATTTTGCAATGGAAGATTATTGAGTTTAGTCGTGTAGTAGTTTGTGAAAATGGAAAAGCAAGAAGGAGAGACGATTGGACTAAAAAGTAGGTAGATTTATGTAGAATTATGACAGATTTTGTATATTCTGACCCTTTCAATAGGTGTTGTCCTAATCGACATCGTTTTGATACGGCTCGCAATTTAAGTAGACTTAGTTCTCGCCTTTCATAACTCATATTGACTTTGTCTCTGAAATCTAAGCGTAACCGTTTTATAGAAAAGCATATTGTCCATAGCTAGTAAAATAGTCCGCTATATATACAGTATATGCTGTATATTTATTGAGGTATTTATTACCGAGCCAAGCATTCCAATGTTTTGATTTAATTTAAGCCACGCAGTGTTTTCCATACTATTCCGCGCGCGCACAATAGGGTCAGGGATGTTTTGGGGGTCATGACTGTATTTACACTATTAACAGTCTGTATCTGCACAGTTAAAACATGGTTGTATATCTTACATCGAATTTGAAAACGAAACATTTTGCTCATGTGCGTTTACTTCGTGATCAAAGCTCGTATTGAGTCACTGAAGAAAGAAACATTCATAAGCACACATCAGCTTTAAAGTTTAAGTGATGATTCATCAAGGCTGATTTAGACTAAACACAACTTTTTCCTGAAACTGTCACATCTGAAACTGTCAAATCAAGCACACAACACGCTTACATTGTCATAAGTGAGTTGTATGCTTGATTTACACAGTACAACTCAAGTTGTAAGCAGATTGCATGCGACAGTTTTAGGCAAAAGTTGTATAGTCTGAATCAGCCTTTAGACATTACATGAAATTAGTTATATATTTCAGGAAACAGGTTGTGTTTGCAAATTGCAATACTTATTCCAAGTTGCCGACAAGTCCGCAAAGAATTCCTATCGTCTTGTTGTGACGACCGACTGTTTGATGACAGTTCTAAAGCTGTTACAACTAGTTCCATGCAACAAGCTTGTGATTCTCAACCTTGTAGCAAATTCAATGTTGCAACACTGTTGTAACTAGTCTGTTAATTTTGCCTTGATAGCAACTTGTTACAACTTGTATGCAGAAACAAATAATGACTCATAACTTTTCTGTTGGTTTAGCAAAGCTTTTAATCCGCCATACGCAGTCTTGGATTCGCATCGGCGCAATAATATAACAGCTTGAGAAACATTTCACAGAGTTGTTCAATGTATATTCCAGAATTTACACTCCAGAACTAACCGGTCTTCAATGTCTTTCGGGCAAAAAACTAGACATCTAAAGTTATTTAAAACCTAAAAAATCACCGACTGAGACTTAATATAATATCATTAAAACACAATACGAAAGCAACGGGGCCAAATATTAGTTGTCAAAATGCAGGCAATGCATTCTTGCATATTTTTACATATAAAATATGAGAATATAGTCTCTGTAAACAAATGATTGAAATCTTCGATTGCGACACTTGTCGATTAAAGCGATACTTCATAAAAAATTTGCAAATTTCAATATGGGGGTTATGTGCCGGTAGTGTCATAACTATTGCAGCGTGTTGTAAGCTTGTATAGAAGTGGCTAATAACAGTTAAAACATTGTCGCAACTTTGTTGCGTGGGAGTTAGGCGGGGCTAGTATAGCGTATATTCTAGCACCTACTACGATACATTGCAAGCATGTCTGCATTAAACCCTACGGTTAGATTTCAAGCTAAGAGTGGGGTCGAAGGCGACTCTGAAAACGGTTCGTCTTCTCCTTTAGACGAAGGGGCAATCCTACTTGAGAATCAAGTAAATACTCCCGACGACGAAGGGCAAAATATGGCTTCTCCTTCGGTAAACATGGAGCCGACCAAGAACAAGATGCGAGATGGTTCGAGCATTGTTGATATGGTCATGGTTTATGAAGTGCCTGACCCTTCGACGTTGGATACCGAAAAAGAACAGCAACAAGAAGCTGATAAGAACACAATTCGTGACTTCTACATCAATGCATTGAAGGCTGCCGACCTTCTTGTCGAGACAGACCAATTGGCAATCGCTAAAGCTGAGGTATATAGTTCTAGATTTATAATTCATTTCGTCTTTGTCTTTACGCTTAGTGCTTCAATTGAAGCACACGGCTCTCATAAGTTAGTACTGTGCAGAACTGCCTGTTTTTTATTTTATTTTTGTTCTGGGATAGGCCAATTTATGAATTAAAGTTGTATCGAATAAATAAAGCGATTTTATATTTAAAAGCAGTTGAGCAGTTTCATACTAGCTAATTTACTTGGAGTCGTGCCATATATTTATACCTAGACACATTGCGACTTGTCGTTGCGATTTTCCGATGCGATTCCAGTGATATTTGATAACTGGAACATCATTAACTGAAGATAGCCGTTGAAATTGGCCTGATCAATCTGTGTGACCTTTAATGTACCGATGCTGTTTAAATATGAGACGGCCATTAAGAATTGCAAGTATGCACTATAAATGCCGTAAATGTTTTGCCACCACAAACGATATTTTGTGCAGACTGTATACGATTGCCCAAAGTGGTTCCGTTTACTATATGAGAGTGATTATCTAGCTTTGGTCTAAACGGATACTACCTTTCCGCAATGCGATTTGTCGGTTCGATTTTCCTTCGGATTTTCGATGCACCTTAATTACAATAAGGCTCATTGAAGGTCGAGACACTCCGGACGTCATTCAACAACGCGGCGCGATTTTTCGATTTTCACTGACCGATAACTTTGATCCTAGTTTAATACTAGAGTTTTCCAAATATTTAGAAGCGCTATAACATTTTGAGTTATTTGGTGTACATACCTTTTAAAATTTCCTTTCATTGGCTGTTTTTATTTATTAAGTAAACTTTCAAGAACTGAAAAATCGCGTCGCGTTGTCGAATCGCGCCCGGTGTGTCTCGGCCTTATAATGTCCAGACGCGATTCGACAACGCGACGCGATTTTTTAGTTTCTGAAAGTTAATAAAACAGCCTATGAGAGGAAATTTTAGAAGATATGTACACCAAATAGCTCAAAATGTTATAACGCTTCTAAATATTTGGAAAATTTAAACTAGGATCAAAGTTAAACGTAGGTAGTTGTCCTTCAGTAGCATTGTGTTTTGAAAGGTTGTTGAATTGAGGCCAATGAGCTACTGTTTGGGACGGCTAGTATATAAAACGTATTTGAAATTACAACATTTAATAAGAATCTTAAAAATTCTTAAAAATTTTTAAGATTCTTATTAAATGTTGTAATTTCAAATACGTTTTATATACTAGCCGTTTCAAACAGTAGCTCATTGGCCTCAATTGAACAACCTTTTAGGATCAAAGTTATTGGTCAGTGAAAATCGAAAATCGCGCGCGTCGCGTTGTCGAATCGCGTCCAGTGTGTATCGACCTTTAGTCTTTACACTTGGATGTGAACGAGTGAATGAGTTATGAATGTTCAAATGAGGGTACATGTACTCCGAACATTCGTAACTCCTCTATACTCGTTCACATGCATCAGAAGGAGATAATTGCACTAGAATTCGCAGCAAAAATTGCATATTTGACAAAATACAAGGTTTCTGACGATACAGCTATCTTGCTTTTTTGTCGATTCGATAAACCGCAGGAATTTAATCTCAAAACGAATCGGAAAGATTGTTGAAAATATTCTCGAGTGAGTATTTCATATATATATATATATATATATATATATATATATATATATATATATATATATATATATATATATATATATATATATATATATATATATATATATATATATATATATATATATATATATATATATATATATATATATATATATATGAAATTGTACTCGCGTATATTGTTTGGATTATAAATTATTGGCTACATACTACTATCATGAACTGTTCGCAAATATTTATGGTCTTAAAAACTAATATGAAAGCGCAAAAACTATATTGTCAGATCTCAATACAGGTTTTTCTCCTTATCAACTTGCCATAAAAAACGAAATTGGTCGCAAAAGAAATCCTATCAAATTTCGGCGGTAAACAGGTGTTCATGAATATAGATGAAAATCGCAAAATAATTGTCAATATTTAGTTTCCACAGTCAATCAGAAATCGCCGGATAATTCTCAATATCGCGTATTCAAGGTCAAGCGCAAACATACACGAGTCTACGAAAATGGCGGGAAAAACATCTGCTAAAATAATAAACAGTTATTGGACGAGGTTTTTGTGATATTCGGAATTATACCTTGATTATTCGGGACATCACCGCAAAAAGCGAATTCAATAACTGTTTTATTGTACTGCATTGCATTTTCGTTCATTCTTTCGACAAAGAATGATTTGTCACACAAAAGAACGTTTGGTTCTTAAAAAGAAGCAGTCAGAACGATTTAAAATATCACAATATTAACAACATAAAAATATTAGCCGAAATCTCATTTACCTACTAAAGGTCTTCACAATGACGCAAAATATTTGCTATTTATGTGAAATTGGGATTTTTTGGAAGAAGAAACGCTTGCATAATCTTTATACTTCAAGCATAATCGTTCGAAAGCTAGAAGCAAATTGTGTGTTGCTATGGCTGCCTCGTCCCTCGTCGCTTCAGTTTCGAATAGAGATCAGTGGGAAAACAATGACGCGCGCGGCTAATTATCATAGAAATATTAGACCTATTATTTCTATGCTAATTATTAACCGTTTTATTTTGTAGGACAACAATGAAAACAAACAAGCGACGGTATTTTTCGTCAAGATCCACGCACCTTGGAATGTCTGTACGAAAAAGGCGGAAGAAATGTTCCTACGGATGCCTTTACAAGAGTCCGACATCGAAATACGCTCGACGTTGGAGACCATTTTCGGCCAACGGTTTGTGGAAAGCGTAAGAGCAAAAAGCCCCATGGAAATTGATAGAAACATCATACCTGATGATAAGATGTATTTCACCGCTTATTTCACCGAAGAGCACGAAGCGCAGTTTCTTGGAGTCGAAAACCACGAGACGTTCTTCAGCCCGACCGACCGAATTCGTATGGTGGAGCGTATTATGGAGCAGACGGCTTTCTCGGAGAATTCAGAACACGATATCGGTGTAGCGAAGTTGTTATACACCGGGGCGTTTAGTGGGGTCTACCCACTGCACGATGGCCCATGTGAAGTGCCCGAAGGCGGCGAACCTGCTAATCTTCGTCAACGATTACGCGCGGAATGGGCGAAGTTTCGAAAGTGGTATAAGTTCCAACCGTTGGATGCGATAAAAGATTACCTTGGTACATCAATCGGGCTATACTTTGCGTGGTTGGGCTTCTATTGCACCATGTTGGCGCCAGTGGCGTTTTTAGGGTTTATAGTGTTTATCTTTGGTATCGGCTCTTCCTTTAGTTATAAGCCTGCCGAAGATGCATGCGATAGCCCCGAAACCGCTTTCATAATGTGTCCACTCTGCGATAAACAGTGTTGGTATTGGTATCTTAAGATTTCGTGCACTTACCTCAAAGTCGCTCATTGGTTCGACAACGACCTGTCTGTTGCTTTCGCATGTATCATGTCCATTTGGTCCACTCTGTTCTTAGAATTCTGGAAGCGTCAGCAAGCGATACTCGGCTACACTTGGCACACTTTGGACTTCGAGGAAGTCGAGGAACAGGTTCGCCCAGAATACGCCGCCGTCGTTACGACACTTCGCGAGAATCCTGCCACAGGACGGATGGAACCTTACACCCCGAAAACAACCCTCTACAAAAAGTACGCTGGCGTTTTTAGTGTCGTCGCGTTCATGATAACGTTGGTACTGTTCGCGGTTATTGGCGTCGTAGTCTACCGTGCCGCCGTCTTCGGTGCAGCCGCTTCGAGTAGTGACGGAAGTATACGAACAAACGCAAAGATCATAACCTCGATGACCGCAGCCGTGCTTAACTTGATTGCTATTAATATCCTAAAGTTTGTCTACCAATACGTCGCACATTGGTTAACCAATTGGCAGAATCCTCGCACAAAAACGGACTGGGAAGACAGCTACACCGTCAAAATGTACATCTACCAATTTGTGAATATGTATTCGTCTCTATTTTACATCGCTTTCTTTAAAATCAATCTCTTCGTCGGCACACCGGGGCATTATCTGCGAATGGGCAAGAATAGGCTCGATGGTTGCGGCGCACAAGGCTGTTTGGTGGAGTTGTGCATTCAGCTTGTTATTATCATGGTTGGGCAACAGGTTATCAGCAATTTCACTGAAGTTATGATACCGTAAGTATAATTTCTATGTTCTCCAGCTAGTTGCATCCTTCAACCGACGCATGGCTGCCAAAGTTAGAAAGAGGAACTACCTCCAAATTCAAACGTTAAAATATGCATGCGCTTTGCTTTTTAAGCCCCGAACAGACGAGCTAGTTTTCCTTGGCCAGTTTACCTTGACAAGGTTACCCTCTCGTGTGTATGGTCAACAAATTTTCCTTGACAAGTTTTGTTGTTCGTGTGCAAGGAATGTTAAACATTTATCTCATGTCAAGGCCGCCTTTTGTCTGCCGAAACCATGGAAGCATTTCTTCAGGGGCGAAACGTGGGGTATGGCGGGTACCCCCAAAATACGAATCATCTGGATTGGCAGGACGAATCATCTGGATTGACAGGGCAATCAAAGATTTTAAATGATAGAATGTAGAGTTATTAAGCACCACCAGCACAGAAAAAAAAAGAATGTAGAGTTATTAAGTAACTTACAGGGCTTTCAAAGGAAATTGAATAGAATTTATAGACCTACATTTTACAGATATTGGTCCTAAAATAAGGGTTTCACCCATGTTTTAACAGGAATTTGTACGGAAAAATTTTTTTGATCCTTAATTTAACTGTTTCATGTCCGGAAAATTTTTTTGGACTCTTTTTTTTAATTTTTCAAATCCCCCGGCCGTACACACGAACAACTTTCCCCCTTTCCAAAAGCTGGCATGTCTTGGCAAGGAAATATTGTCAATTTTTTGCCGTATACACGAGCAAATAAGACTTGTATAAAGGAAAACTTATTCGTCTGTATGGAGCGTATATAATGGTAAATTTACAGTTACAACTTTAAAAAGTCGCTTTTCACATTGTTAGATTGTCTAGATTCTCTGACATGGGAAGACAGTGCCCCCCAAAAAATGGCGGACATGGGCATGCGTGAGAGAGGTTAATTGTTTCGTCGAAATCTTTGAACGCGTTCAAACGAAAAGTTTTGTTGTCACGTGGTGTATATTGCCAAAGCGGTGGCACTAGCTCCCCTTCGAATGATCTGTTTCTAGTGCTTTGAAAATCTCAACAGATCTACTGTATTACTGGCCGACCCAACCTACCTATTCGCCTATTCAACCTACCTTCAAGGTTTCCGACTCCATCTTGAATCTATTGTTTTCACGGTAACTGGCCGTTTCGTCCCCGATCGTTTCGTCCCCGATCGTTTCGTCCCCTTGCCGTTTCGTCCCCTTCACGTTTCGTCCCCAGACTAGATACAGTTTTATCTATAACCTACTTCCTTAATACAATATATCTTACTTTTTAAGATTGTATCTCAGTGGATTGTATGCCTGGATAATACACATTTTTGTATTTAAATTCCGAAACTTTGAAATGTAACTTAAATATTTGGCTTTTATTTCACAATATTAATATTGCTGTTGTCAGTGACTATTATAGTGACACTTGACTTTATTTTAATTGGAACTGAGTCTGAGGAAAAGTAGACAATGACAGAATGACTGCCATTAGTGAGCTTAAGATCGCAATGTTTTTTGTCAACACGGACGGTCAGTTCGTCGAGGGGGGACTGGATTAAAAACTGTGTTTTTGTCAGTTTGTGGTAATCTTTAACATATAGGACAAAACCTAAGATTTTTTAAGTTTTTTGCTTCCTTACACGAGCGCTATGATGCAAAATGCCGCCAAAATTAGTCCTACCAATTTTCGAGTGACGTCCGTGTTGGGGACGAAACAGCAAGGAGACGAAACGACCATAAAGCGTTTTCACCGCTGTGTTTGCACCCCCTGCATGCAAATGTACCTCGAGGGAATTCCATTGTGTTTGCATCCCTTGCACTATAAGATGGTTCGTTATGGCGTCGGAAACCTTGAATCCACCTATTGTATTTTTTGTTTAGGTATTTGACAAAACTTTGGAATGAGCGAAAAGCAACGAAAGAAAGTATTACACATCTTCCACAGTGGGAACAAGATTACTTCCTGCCAGCCGTAGAAGGAACCATGTTCTGGGAATATCTTGAAGTTGGTATGCATCTGCCTTCCCTTTCCTTTCCGTAGGGATCCGGCCTTTCTGTGCACCGTCTTTACAAATGAAGTTTTAGTATTTTTGCACAAGTGAATTTATCAAATCCTACAACCTGATTGGTCAAATTTGACGTATTAAGATGTTTTATTTTTCACCCTGCTCGGTTTCCTTTGTTCTAATTATTGGGGAATATATTCAATATTCCCCTCTAATCAATTTCTGTTTAATGATCCCCTCTAATATTCACCTGCAATGTCTTTGCAGCACAAAAAATGAGAAGAAAAAAACAACATAACGAAGGCAATATGGCATTAAGAATTATTTCTATTCTGACTCATTAACGCGACCTCGCAATGTGAAAAGTAAGTACGTTATTTTGAGGCACTTCGGGGATATGTGTTTATTCACCTCGGCACTGCGCGCCTCGGTGAATAAATCACATATCCCCTCGTTGCCTCAAAATAACTTATACATATTCACCTGCAGGTGAATATAATAAAACCGAAATTTTCAAAATGGCGGCTAGCCGTTTTGTGGAGGTTTACTGATAAAGAAATAAGAGAAATTCAGATAAATTCAGTACCAAAAAACACAAAAGACTTGTGTAAAAATACTATAACCATTATTCCCCTCAGGTTCGGTGATTATCGGGGAATATTCCCCGCGGAATGGGTACGAGATTGTTACTGATAGAGCTATTTCAGTATAAGTTTATTTTGTTTTGTTTTGTTTTGTTTTCCTCCTGTAGCAAGGCTGGACCAATTAAGGGATGCCTCTTAGTTGAGCTCGAGGGAAAGCAATAGAATAGCTATCTGTTCTATGATAAATATGTTCTAGAGCTTTATAAAAAAACGCTTAACTGGAAGCATTATATAAATACATCTAATTTTCTTCGACAGTTTTACAGCTTGGCTTCGTAATGATGTTTGTGGCCGCCTTCCCGCTAGCTCCGTTGTTCGCCTTCGCAAACGGCGTCCTAGAAATCAGAGTTGACGCCATCAATTTCATCCGCGACCAACGTCGTCCCATGCCCAATATGGCGGAGGATATCGGCGCCTGGTATCCAATCATTGATGCCTTGTCTAGTTTCTCCGTTCTTGTCAATGCATTTGTAATTGCATTTACCTCAGATTTCATCTCGAAGGTTGTGTATAGGTACAGCTACAGTCCTAATGATTCGCTTACAGGCTACCTGGATAACAGTCTGTCCTATTTTAATACCAGCGACTGGAGCAGCTCTGCTAAGCCCCAAAAGGAATATGACCATGTAAACATTACTGAACCACATTTGTGCAGGTAGGGTTATCATCGTTACATCATTATTCCCATTACTTTTATCACCATCTTCACTATCATCATCAACACAATCACCACGACTATCGTCATCACCAATACCATGGATGGCACTACCATCATCACCCATCATAATCACCACCACCATCGTCACCATCATCATCGGAAAATTTTCGAAAATTTTTTCGGACATACCCAAATTTTTTCCGGACATATCACATTTTTACCCAAAAATTTTTCGACATACCAAAAATTTTTCCGGATATATGATATATTTTCCCGAAAATTAAAAAATTTTTCCGGACATAACATAATTTTACCCGAAAATAACAAACTTTTTCAGGACATACCAAAATACAAAAGCGAATGCAATCATGAATCAAAGGCCTTTGGGCAAAAAATGCAATCTGAACGACATTTTTCACGGAGGTAAAGGGCACTTTGCTCCCGGAAAAAGGGCACTTTTGAAAACTTGGGCGGGGGGGGGGGTTGGTCCCCCGGTTCCTACGCCCCTATTATAGGGCATATCATTGTTGGGCATGAAAAAAGGGCACTCTCCTTTTAAAAAGGACACTTTTTCTTATCACTTTGAAAGTTGGGGGGGGGGGGCACGTGCCCCCAGTGCCCCCCCTTCCTACGCCACTGATGCAGATGATGAACAGTTGTACAACTCTGATCGTGAACCTGCAGTTCTGGAGAGTGAGCATGAACATGAACATGAACATGAACATGATAAATACAGCAATAATGGCAGTTGGCAATGGTTTTTGGCAGTTGGCAATTGTAATCACAAATTTGCATTCCCTGTAAACGATTCGATTGAATTATTAGACGAACTGAAGTTCAATCGTCACATTACAACAATTTGTGACAAAGTTAAAAATCAGTTCGGTGTGATAAAGAGGTTTGGTAAACTTTTAGCCAGGTTCCTAAAAGAGGGCGTCCAATTTTGGTATAACGATACATCCACAGTAAAGAGGGGGTGGGGGGGGGGGGAGGGGGGTTGAGAAAACGTTCCTCTGGAAAACCTTTGAAGTTTACGTTACTTCATGTCAGTATCCGTTCCAAGCTCGTAAGAAATTTTCCAAACACACTTTGCTTTCTGAGTTTGTGCCGCTATGCTTCACTACTTGATTCAGCCAGGTACACCATCAAATTGATCAAAATGTCAAATGTATAATAATAATGAGAAATGAAGCTATTTCGTTTCAGATATATTAATATTCTTAGGGAAATCATTGAAAATAATTTCCCTTTTTCCCCAGAATTTGAGCGTCCAAATGCATCCATTTTTCGTTCTAGGGGCGTCCCAGGACGCCTGGACGCCCTTCTGGCTAAAAGCCTGCACCGCAATATCACTACCACCAAAATCATCATGATCACACTACTATCATCACCACCATTATCATCATCATTGTCATCACCATCATTATCATCATTGTCATCACCATCGTCACCACTACTGCCATCACAACCATCATCGCCAACAGTCCGTCATCACCACACCATCACTAACCTTCTTCCACTCCTTTCCTCCAGGTATGTTGGCTACCGTTCCAGCGCAGCCGGAGAACCGTTCACAAAACAACATTGGGAAGTCATGGCTGCTCGTTTTGCTTTCATTTTCCTCTTCCAATTCTCAATGACATTGATAAAGAGATTCCTGGCCTGGGCTATTCCTGATATGCCAAGCGACTTAGATCTCAAGAGGAAGCGAGAAGAACATATTGCCCAACAAAAGCTACATCAACGTCCCGGTAAAGTTGGAAGACAAACAAGTCAGGCAAAAACCTATATATAACTAGTTATTGACGATATAGGTTAGAAAATAGTATTATGCTTAGTTGACATTCACCGTGTTTTTCTTTTGGTGTATGTGTGGGATGTAGAAAGCAAGGTATTGCAAGGAACTAGGGGCTGTTTTATGAGTTCATCTGTCTGGCTAGCTAGGGTCCCGAATATCTTTCTATCGCATCAAGAAAATAATTAAAATTAATTTGCCTTTCCCAGTCCTTGCCCGCCATTTTTGGGTGGCAAAACGCACGTGGAAAATAGACGCCAACAAGCGAAGGAGTGAATTTAGTGAGGTAGAAAACAAAACCATTGTTTATGAGTGATACATACTTGACTAAATAACTATTTTGCTTGTTGTTATCTTTTATTGTTACACGGTTTTCCACCCAAAAAATGGCGGACACATACTCTCTATCCGCGCTACTTAGAATACTTCAAGTATATTTTTACACAAAGCTTGAGTTACACAGTAAAACTTCAAAGAAAAGAAAAGAGTTAGCCCAGTTAGCCTAACTAGCTCATCTAAACAGTCCCTTACGCACCGAAGATGCGACCGTCATATTATTATTATTATTGGTCGAAATGTAAAGTAACATTTCTGAGTGATTCAAGTAAAAACGAAACGTTATGCACAACATACGGAAAATGACTTTTTTACTATTTCATAACCAACATAATGTCAACTATTAAAAACGCTAAATGCGCGACCAGGATTCATAATAAAGTTTCTGACATGTGCTCTGATCGTAAAGTTTCTGAAACGTTCTCTGATCGAGTTAAAAAAAGTCATTTCCGTATGTTGTGCATAACGTTCCGTTTTTACTTGACGAACCATGCACTTGCCTGTGAGCGTAATGCTCGACTGGGGGTCTAAACTCCAGGTTGGTGCAAGTTGATTGGACCGTCAAGATGGCGTTTGGCTATTTTCTCGGCATTGTGTCAGACAATATAATCTCAAACCTAGCCCACATCCAAACCCCTGAATCTCATCTGAGTTTGTTATGCTAACCAAACTCCCAAAGCTCGACCACCAATCTGCGATTTAAGCCCGTACAGACGGTCAGACGAACAAGTATTCCTTGACAAGTTTCCTTTCTCGTGTGTACGGTCAACAAGCAGTGGCGGAAATTCACTTTTTCCGGTCGGGTGGGGGCGAAGCCTTCTAAATTTCCGACAACCCCCCCCCCCATTTGCACTCGAAAAGGCTGTTTTTAGCCCTTTTATAGGTCAAAATTTTCGAAAATTCGTTATTTTCCACGAAGGTGGGCGGCTGCCCCCCCCCCCGCTCCACCAAGATTTTCGCCACTGTCAACAAGTCTACCTTGACATGTTTCAATTGACAAGTTTCGCTGTAACAGAATGTCGTTAAACATTTATCTCACATTTTTTTGCCAAAACCATGGAAGTATTTCTTGTACACTTGTCAAGTTTTCCATGGCGGCCGTACACATGCACGAACAAATTTTTTTTGACCAAAAGCTGGTATGACTAGCTTTGGAACGAGGTTCGTTGGCAAAGAAAAATTGTCAATATTTTGCCGTACACACGAGCAAATAAAAAGGAAACCTGTCAGAGAAAAATTGCCCGTCTGTGCATGGTTTTAGACCCTATGTAATGTGTGTGTAAGCTCGTATATTTAGGATTTTGTACGTAGGGCTATATGGTATTAGGATATTACGATTATTAACCGAATTAATCGCATACTTAATCGAAATGTAACATTTGAGGATTGAACACTTGAATCGACTTTGTGTACATGTAATGCATAGACGTACGTTCATTAAATAATTACTCATTCTAATTAATTATAAAGGTAACATGATTAGTGAAATAAATCAATTTTTGTAACGCATCCTTTCAGCTGAAAATATGTTTACTAATCTGGGGTAGATGGAATAATTCATGAGCAAAACCCAAATAAAATCTGTACCTTATCGGGTTATTGATACATGTCTCGATGTTTATGAATGTTGACCTTGCCCATAAGTATGTCAAGATATGATAGTTTGGAAGCCCGAGAAACTTCAAATCCGCAAAATAGAAGACCTTTGTTTAAACTGTACCTCACCGTGCACAAATCCTTACTCACAACTTTACTAAATATTTAACGTGGTTGCATGTTTCACCCCAGCTATCCTTATTGGACAATTACGACATTATGCGAAAACACAATGAGCTCAATCAGTTACGTGATCATATCGTGCGTAAATTAACATAAACTTGGACAAAAACATAGCACAATGACTTCTGTGTAGTTTTCAGACCATCGTATCTTGATAGATCGAAGGTGCCTTGTCCCCAGGCACTATATTATCTACATAACATATAAAATATTCTGGAGGCATTCATAGCCTGTAAACGATATGAGAATAATTTTTCTGTTTTGGTGTTGTGTACAGGTGAATATGATGCTTGTGATGTTACTCTGAGTGTATATCCACACCGGGCAAGCTTGAAAAATATGCCTGGCCACGATGGGAATCGAACCTACGACCTTTGGAATACTAGCCCAATGGCTCTGCCAACTGAGCTACGCGGTCGGGTCGGGTCGGGTCGAATATGTGATATTTCGGAACTGAGTCTAGTTCCTTCGATATCAATGCAATCTAGTAATCATGATTTTTTCTGTGTCGGTGTTGTGTACTCAGGTGAATATGATGTTTGTGTCTTTGTGATGTTACTTTGAGTGTATATCCACACCGGGCAAGCTTGAAAAATATGCTGGCCACGGTGGGAACCAGGCATATATGAACCAGCCTATACATAGCCAAACTACTCGTAACAAAACGTCGACATTTCCACCGCGGAAGTCGCACCGTGGCCAGGCATATTTTTCAAGCTTGCCCGGTGTGGATATACACTCAGAGTAACATCACAAACATGATATGAGAATACTTTACGTAAACATTTTATATTGCGCCTGGGGACGAGGCAGATGCTGACCCTTGTCCTATTCCTACCCTAACCCAAACATCTGACCCTAACTGATGAATCTGTGTCCAATTTTCGCGTTGAATATGCTAATACAGGCTTCCTCCAGAGTTTCAGGCTTTTAGCTGACAGAGTGGGCAAAGCATAGGTACTGGGTCTAGCCAGGAACAAATTCAAGATGGCGTCTTTAAATAAGACGTCGCCTGAATTTCGAAATTTTTTCATTTATAACTCAACACTTGGACCAAAAGAAGGCATGGTATGAACTGCATTTTATAGAAAAATTATTAAACTGTTGTTATCTTGTAAATTTTGCTTTGTAAAGGGCTAAAATAATCTTATAATTGCCTTAAAAATACCAGGTAATTAGGTAATTTGGTACCAATCAGTATAAAAACATTTACTTCTTTGGAGGAATTAATCAATTTCCTGCTCAAAAAATCTTGCAATTATGAAAATCTGTGCAAAATTCCTCAAATTGTAGAAGAAAGTGCAAACATTTCCTGAGGAATCTGTGCAAAATGCCTTTGTGAACCAAGAACCAAGCAGATTTCTGATCTTCCTATTAAGGGGGGACATTGGGATTTACGGTATGGCTATGGCGGTATATTAGCTTATTTTTCTTACGGTATTTCGGTATTTTCCCTGAAAAATTGCGGTATTACGATATTGGAAATCTTGCGGTATTACGATATTGGAAATAATCGGTACACGGTATTTGCAATTTTGGAACTGCAAATACTGATTTGCTTGCGGTATTATGGTATTGAATACCCCCCAATGCCCCCCTCTATTTGACCAAAATACTATCTGACAGCAGGACACTTGGTCTTTGAGATACTATGCGAAATTTGTTCCACAAAAACTGTTTTATAGAATTTTTTAAAAATTGAGTATATTGCAATGAATGACTAGCACCTTTCAAATACAAAATTTCAGAAATATTGACCGAAAGAAAAACGTTTATATTGCATTACAAACCTTGCATGGTCAATTGAAGTTTTTGCTGATGAGATAAAATTTCAAAGCGACAAGATCATTTCATTACATTACATTACATTACCAGTCCCATGCTTAAAGTGGAAGTCAAGTCTGTTCTGTGCATTGGTTCTGCTCATAACAATGTGAGGACCCTCTAATGTAAACATTGCCCAACTTTAGAATTTTCGAATTTATCTGAACATAAACTTTATTTCATATTGATTTAGAAGCATAGCGAACCAAAATGGTGTTAGATATTCAGACAGTACATCATATTTTAAAAAAATACAGCAGTTCAAAATGTAAACAAACCGTTTGTTTACATAGGGACTTGACTTCCACTTCAAACAACTGTGGGGAGCCATCTTAAGCTGAACAATTTTTCAGAATGGCTGCATAAATATGTTGATGTTTTTAGAAAATGCAGACTGACTTCAGGTTTAAAAATTATGTGCCTGAACTGACCAAACTTTACAGTCTGACTAAGGTATATAGCCACACTGGAAAGTTTGCAAAATATGCAAAGAAAAGTTCAGAGATTGTGGATATTAAGAATACCTAAGCCTCAAAAATGCACAAATTAGGGTGGGAAAAAATTTAGGAGAGGTTCAACAGTCTAGGCGTAAAAAAAAACCTGTGGTTCCGGTTCCCAACCGACCCTATTTTTTCTGCCGACCCTATTATTTTTTCAACGCGATTGACCGTGCAACCCTATTTTCTCCGGGTGGTTGCGGGCTGCTGCCAAAAATTATGGCATCTGTTGTCACACTAATTATTGAAAAAACCATGAAAAAAATATTCAAAAAAAAAATTATTTCCGACCTACCAACCCTAATTTTTTCGTGATATGAAACCGGAACCACAGGTATTTTTTTTATGCCCTAGTTGTACAGCCTCTGTGAAATGTTGGGAACTCGCTAAGGTCAATCTCAGCCGTATCATGGTTGGTGCTATGAACATTGCCCCCCCCCCCCAACCTGTTGCTAAGAATTTAGGAGTACATATGGTTTGATTCTAACCTCACCATGAGCACCCACATTTCGAAGACATGCTCTTCTGGATTTTACTTTCTATATAATATAAAACACATTAGAAAGTACCTTACTAAAGAAGCGACCGAGACACTCGTACATACTTTTATATCCAGTCGCTTGGATTACTGCAACAGCTTATTGTATGGATTGCCAAGTTCCCAATTAAGCAAGCTACAGAGTGTGCAAAATGCCGCTGCATGTCCCATGTTCCAAGAATCAAAGTTTTGCCGAATTACACCATTGTTGTGAAGCTTACATTGGCTCCCAGTCAAATATCATATTGACTTTAAAATACTCTTACTAACGTTTAAGTAACCTTATCAGCCTCAAGGGGTCTACAAGATGTAGTCAATAAAATCATACTACTACTCAGTCCCTGACTGCATTGTTTACACACGGTCAGATCATGTATGTAAGTTAATGTATACTCTATAGTATTAATTGCTCTATAGCATTATTAATACCGTAGCAATTAATACTATTATTAATAGAGCATACATGATCTGACCATGCGTAAACAATGCAGTCGGGGACTGAATACCACTGATTGTTGGGCTACCTAAATATGGTTAGAGAGGGTAAAATAATAAAGTAGCTAGGGTGCATCTGGGTGCATTGTCACTTAAAGGTTAATAATCTTTTAGGAACATGAGAAAATCGTGCTATATTTGCCTGTCGAAGAGGATATAGAGAAGAAAATCAGAAATGTTGGACTTTGTGAAGCCATTGTAAAGTTTACTGAGTATGTGTCTGAAATATAATTTTACTAACCTTTTATAAGGGCTAAACTCCTATAATGAAGCTAGCCTCCTAATGAAGGGTAACATCCTAATGAAGGGCTAACCTCCTAATGAAGGGCTAACTTCCTAATGAAGGGCTAACTTCCTAATGAAGGCATTGAAGGGCTAACCTACTAATGAAGGGCTAACCTCCTAATGAAGGGCTAATCTACTAATGAAGGGTTGACCTCCTAATGAAGGGCTAACCTCCTAATGAAGGGCTAACCTCCTAATGAAGGGCTAACCTCCTAATGAAGGGCTAACCTCCTAATGAAGGCTAACCTCCTAATGAAGGGCTAACTTCCTAATGAAGGGCTAACCTCCTAATGAAGGACTAACCTAATGAAGGGCTAACCTCCTAATGAAGGGCTAACCTCCTAATGAAGGGCTAACCTCTTAATGAAGGGCTAACCTCCTAATGAAGGGCTAACCTAATGAAGGGTTAACCTCCTAATGAAGGGGTACCATCCTACTGAAGGGGTACCATCCTACTGAAGGGCTATATACTGTACTGTACTACCATCCTAAAGAAAGGTATACCTGTATATGGAATAATGAGGTGATATATATAATTCTGTTTCAGGCAGTTCACTCCAGACAAACCATGTGAGTCAGTACACACTCAAAAGACAAGACAGGTTTTTTATGAACCTGAAAAAGACTACTGGATGATCATGGTAAGCTGGGACAATGAATACATGAATTTGAATTTAGAGGGTACAGTATATAGTCTTCTATTTCATGAATTAATCTTAAAATATAGCATTTGTAAATTCTGAACGCTGATTGGCTAAGAGCCGTGTTGATATAACTCAATGTCAACGCGGAAAATTTTCTTTCTTTATACATTTTTTCCGTAATTGATATACAGTTATATGATTACACTCGTGGGAATTGGGAAAACTCGAAATCGTTTTCCCAATTCCCACTCGTAACTGTATATCAACACGGAAAATGTTTTATATTTGCTACCCATTAATTATATCAAAAAAGGTTCCACATTATTTAAACAGTGTACTCGGAGCTTGAAATAACAGCCGATCATTGATCGGCAAGAAATTGCATATGATTGGCGGAAAAGCAGGTTTTCCAACCGGAAAAAGCAGGGAAAGTCATGACTGCCGATCACCATGATCGGGAACTTTGGGAACGTTATTTCAAGCCCTGGTGTACTAATTGGATTCACTTCTCTTTGTAATTTTTCAGACAGTCACCATACCTTTCAGTGAAAAGATTGTGGACAACGCTGGCAAGGAACCTGAAAGACATTACCATAATGAAGATGTTCATGTATGTATGTATGTATGTATGTATGTATGTATGTATGTATGTATGTATGTATGGACCTATATTCCCTAATGAACAAAATTTTGATCTAGACAAGGCTAGACAAACATTTCGCCACAGCTTGAAAGAGCATCGCAAAATTAGTAATATTCCGAAGTTTCGTTGCAAAATGTTGTAAAATGTGCATAATATAGCCCTTCGAAGTTTGCCGTTTTTCAGTCATTTTGTATTACGCACGGGAAATTGATACCGCTTTCTGAAAAAAGGTATCAATTTCCCGCACGTAATATACAAAATGACTGAAAAACGGCAAAATTTGCAGGGCTATATTATCCGCATTTTACAACATTTTGCAACGAAACTTCGGAATATTACTAATTTTGTGATGCTCTTTCAAGCTGTTGTCTAAATCAAAATTTTGTTCATTAGGGAATAGGTCCATTGATTAGTTACAGTATGTCACATAAATGGTGTAAGAAAACATATCCCTATCCTATGGTTCCGGTTTTATGTCTTGAGAAAATTAGGCTTCCTATTGGCTCTTTCTAGGCAAGGCCTGAATTTTTCGGTCGGTTGGTCAGTCAGCAAGCTTTTTAACAATGTATCACTACTTTCGTTCTTCAACAGAATAACTTCAGATTTAAGATGCCAAATAACTAAATCAGTTTTACAAAATAGTACGTCATTTTCGAAAATATAACCAGGCTATAAAGACAATAAAGGTCAATTTCACATGAGACACTGAAAATGGCAAAATGCAACATTATGTGGTGCTTATAACCACATGTTTCCATAGTTAACACATTGGATTATCATAAATCAAAACGATTTTTGAATTTTGGCCCATGCCCACTCTGCGGCAAACAGTCGAATCTGCACTTGTTTGTTGCTATTGTTCTGTGGATAAAGTGTGTTTATTTAAAATAATTATAACTCAGTCACTTTAACTTTGAAATAAGTTATATTTCTTAACAAACACAGTCTAAGGTTCACATGAGAATGTTAGATCAGACAATATCCAGTGTTGCGGTGATTTATGGTGCAACGAAGTTTGGGTAAGAGAAATGTAATGTCCGCAACAAAAAAACAATTACAATTTATTTTTCAGCCAAACGTCTAGCTCTTTTGACATTATATTTGTGCTGCTTTTTTAAAATGGTATTAACATTATTTTAGACTGGAAAAAGACAATAAAAAGTATTAACATGTCTTGAATAATTTGTTGCGGACATTACGTTGCAGACATTACATTTTTGAAATTGGAGAATTAGATGCTTATATAATTGTCTTGCTTGAATTCTATAGTTATTTTATGCTTGATGACTTAAAAATAGAACATTAAAAGGACTATGGGACCTTTACTTTTAACTACAATCACTCCGTGCTGTATACACAATCACAGTGACACAATTCATCATGGAAAGTTTCCAAGTTACATATAATGCCACTACCGTATACTGCCATTGTACCATCAGTTTTGTAAGGCATATGTTGTTAAGAGCAAAATCATGTTTTAATTCTATTCATGTTTGTTTTGATCATCTTCCACTAAACCCAGGGGTGTTAATTATCCCCACCAAATGTAGTAAATGCAAAACTGTCAAATAGAATGGTCTACAAGCATGACACTTTATTTGCTGCACAACCCGAGTCATTGCCTGAGTCTATGCGCAACAAATATTGCACTTTTGAAAGATATTATTGTCAACAGAAGATTATATACTGTAATATGTGTGACCATGATTTCATCCCAGGATTTATGGTGGTATACACATGAGCATACAGGAAGGAAAAAATTAGGGTGGAGGAAAGAAATTTGCCTGACTTTTTCGGATTGTGCCCGCGTTGTTAAAAAAATTTCCGGACAAACTTTCCACAATTGTTGTCGACGGTGGGGGGGGGGGGGTACTAGTGATTACGAAGAATTCCTATTAGGTGGATAGCATATTTCCCACAAAATTGACAGAATTCCCCACAAAATTGACAGAATTTGTCCCATTTATTTTTATAATAAGTCAATATTGCCCAAGTGTGAAGCGAATATTGCCCGACTGGCTTTGTTTGCCCAACAAGCTGGGCAGCGGGCGCTGCCGCCCCCTCCCCTCGCCCGGTACGCCCATGGGTATACAAATGTAAATAGAATTAAGCTAGAATGCCTGTTATGTGGACTAGAAACATTGAAGTGCATAATCAGTCACCCAGTTTTGATTTCCTATCATTTTTAATACAGATTGCTATACAATCCCAAAAATGTAATGTCCGCAACAGTTTCAGTGTAATGTCCGCAACACAAACTTTGCACTATAAAAGCTGCGCAAGGGCATTGTAGAACATCTCGTTTTCATATTTTTTAACCCCAATTATCACTGAGAGCAGGAAGTGTTTTAGTTCCTTTGATACCTTTCAAAGTTCACAGGAAATTACGTTTTAAAAACATCACTTCAATGTGTGGTTGATTTTGCTGTAATGTCCGCAACAGTACTTTGACTTTTTATTACAAGAATTGATTACGAGGGAATTTTGGTTTTTTTTTATGAAATCTTAAGAGGTCCCCTTAAGGTTTTCTATGACAAAGTTCCCAGATCTGAAACTGTTGCAAACAGGAAACAGAGCATGTTTTGTATTAATTGTTTTTCTGTGAATGTAATGTCCGCAACGTGAAATTGCCCTAAAGTAGACCAGACTGAGGAAAAATTGCTTTGTTTGAAAGCTTAGAGGATTTACTTTTCAAAACAATTTTAGTGGTAAAGATACTAGCAAATATCAAACTGCTCATGCTTGCGTAAAGTTTTCACAAATTTTGCGGACTTTGTAGTTTAGCGAACATTTTCGAACTGTGCACTTTTTTGTACACCCCAGGGTGTTAGCCAGGCGGCCGTCCGACCGTCCTATGGACGGCCACTTCTGAATTTGGACGGCTAAATTTTAGGGAATATTTTCTTTAAAGAGCAACCTACAAGCTTTGTAATATTTCTTGAATACTTCGCGCCATATTTTCGTAAAACGCGCCATGTTTTTGTAACCGTTTTGATGATTCTCGCATGAAGTATCAAGGAGAATAATGTGAAACCGCTGTTTTAAAAAATAGCAATCGCTTTATCGCTCGAGCGCCATGTTACAGTTATGGTAGTGATCATACCATACGTGTGCTTTTACTAATAATTTAATGACGGAAATGTGCATCTAAAAGTAAAAAGGTTCAACGAATAAAACACCACAATTCCTCAACAACAGAAAATTGCGGCCACACCCAAAAACATGTGACCAAGCCCACAAAAATATGTTGCCACACCCACAAAATTATTTTGGACAGCCACTTTTGAAATCCTGGCTAACACCCTGGTACACCCTGTACAAAAATATTAGTTCATACTTTGAATTTGAATTTTTTCAGGACACTGTATTACGTGCTGTTCTAAAGCAAACCTATCAAATGTTTAAGGTAGTGTATTGTCGTTGCAAATGTGGCATGAATACAGTAAATAGATCAAAGTGAACACATTTTGAAATTACACATGCCTGCAGTTCTTTGCATAAAATCATGGTAATTTATTTTTTCTAGTTATTCAACGGTTCATTCCAACACATCCTTTCAGTTTGTGATTTGGATGAATTGAGGAGGAGGCTGGATTATTTCTTTGGAAGAGTGAGTTGAGAAGATGATTTAGTTGAATAACTACAGTATGATAAAAAAGTGACGTCATTCTGTATAGGCTGTTCCAGTGAGCTCTATGTAATAATCTGGAGCAAGAACTTCAGTCATTCGACCTATGAGAAAAGCGAAACCAAGATGGCGGAAAGTGACGTACAATAGCTACCTGTAGGCGTAAAAAATATACCTGTGGTTCCGGTTTCATATCGTGAAAAAATTAGGTCCGGTAGGTCGGAAATAATTTTTTTTTTCGAATATTTTTTTCATGGTTTTGGCGGTTTTTTGCCGGGCGATTTGCAGTAGAGTCCCGACATCAATATTAACTAGAGATGCGTATTTCCTATGGACGAATTTAGGCAATTTGTTTCAATAATTAGTGTGACAACAGACGCCATTTTGGCACGCTGTATGAGCAGCCCGCAACCACCTGGAGAAAATAGGGTCGCACGGTCAATCGCGTTGAAAAAATAATAGGGTCGGCAGAAAAAAATAAGGTCGGTCGGGAACCGGAACCACGGGTATTTTTTTACGCCCTATGAGGGTCGTAAACAGTTTTAATATCATTCCCCCCCCCCCCTCCCCCATCTAATTCCAGTTTTGGGGCTTACAAAATACTGTTTTATATATTTTCAGTATTTAGGAACCATCAACTTCTCCACTGTGGATATTTTGAGCGTATTTTCAGGTAGGTGTATGGGTAAATACTAGGGTTTGGGCATCTCACTCGATAGATCTAATGGATGATTCCAGCTATAGACTAACTTTTGATCTAGGCAAGAAGAACAAAATCCATCACCACAGCTAGAAAGAGCATGTTAAAATGAGTAAAATTGCAAAATTTGGCCGCGAAATGTTTTAAAATGCGGAAAATTTATATTTTCTGCGAAATTTGCAAATTTTGTATTACGCACGGGAATATTCACAACATTTGGCCTGAAAGTGGTGCATTTTCCCGTGCGTAATACAAATTAATACGAAATTTGCAAATTTCGCAGGGCTATATTTTCCTCATTAAACAACATGTCGCAACCAAACTTTGCAATTTTACTAATTTTAGCATGCTCTTTCTTGCTGTGGTGATGGATTTTGTTCTTCTTGCCTACAGTAGATCAGAGTTTAGTCTATAGCTGGAATCATCCATTGTGGAACGGTTTGGTACTGTAGATAGAAATTTCGTACACTTATAACCAGGAGAATATAACCAGGAGGGACATTTATTACACCTATAACCATGCAGAAGTCTGAATGTGCTTATTTCCCATAGGAATGCTGAAATAATTAACGGTAAATTTCTTTTTTGAAGGGATACATTTCCTGCCTTTAGACAAGAATGCTTTCCTTAAAGTGAGCTGTTTTATGAATGTAATTGAACATAAATTTAGGTAAGTCTAATAATGTATTCACTTTCAAGCGAAATGAAATTTGTCTTTAACCATTTAAGTGGCAGTGTGTCCAAGTGCGCCCTACTCCAGAGGTACTCGTCAAGAGGAAAGTTCCGGCACTCAATGGGTTAATCAGACTATCTGCCCATGTGTCTAGTTAACCCTTTAAGTGGCATTGTACCCTTATGCGCCCTACTTTATTATTTTACTTTGTCTAATTCCACACTGCAAGATCATGACAAGATCATGACAACATTATGATAACATCATGACAAGATCATGGCAAGAACATGGCAAGAACATGGCAAAATCATGGCAAGAACATGACAAGATCATGGCAAGAAACATGGCAAGATCATTGCAAGATCATGACAAGATCATGACAACATTATGACAAGATCATGACAACATCGTGGCAAAATCATGGCAAGAACATGACAAGATCATGGCAAGAAACATGGCAAGATCATGGCAAGATCATGACAAGATCATGACAACATTATGACAAGATCATGACAACATCGTGGCAAAATCATGGCAAGAACGTGACAAGATCATGGCAAGATCATGACAAGATCATGTTTGTTCATTGCAAGATCATTGCAAATATCGCAGGATCTTGCAAATGCAGTATCTTGCAGGATTTAGACAAGATCTTGGCAAGATCATAGCATGATCGCGGCAAGATCGTAAAAAGATCTTGGTAAGATCTTGGAAAGATATTGCCAATATTGTCAACCTTGGTTTATTCTCAAGATGAGAGTGATGGCACTCCAATGGGTTTAATGGTTTATCATACTATCTGCACACGTGTCTTAATTGTTAACCTTTTGAGTGAGATCCGTGCTAATGCGCCCTACTTTATTATTTTACTCTTTATAATTACAGTTGAATATTTTTTATTGCATGTTGCTTAACTTAAGTAAGTTGCATTTGCTCAATAGTCAATAATAATTTTTTTCCGTTTTTTAGTTCTATAAAATACACTGTGTTTATGTTTGATGATCAGATTGTTTGGTAAGATAACAAGTTACGCTATTTAGCTTTCATTGTATATTCGATAGAGTGAAAATTCTAATGAGTCGCCAGAACCAGGGCTCGTTATTATATTTAGTGCTTGCGAGCAAAAATTAATAACTTCAGAATGTGCCTGCAAAAATTGCGTCATATTCGGTTAGAATGTCTGGATTTTAAAAGATGTCAACACAAATTCAAAATGTGCTTCATGGACAAATCCAAAAGGTGTCCGCATTCCCCAAATTCAACGATGCCTGGCCGAAAAGACTCTTTTGAGTTCATTTTTGACTTTTTCAATAGACAATTTCCATTATAGACTAATTTTAAAACTAGACAAAGAGATGCAAATAAATCACCACAGCTAGAAAGAGCATACTAAAATGAGTAAAATTGCAAAGTTTTGGTTGCGAAATGTTGTAAAATGCGGAAAGTATAGCCTTGCAAAGTTTGCAAATAGTGTATACTTTCGTATTGCGTGCGGAAATTGCTACCATTTTCGGTCCAAATGTGGTAGCAATTTTCTCGTTCGCTGCGCTCACTCGTGAGATATTGTTTTTGCCACTCGAACATAAAATCCATATCTCCTGCAACCGTCTAATATCCTCTATTTATGATGTAAATACTTAGGCTCTTTATCGGAACAATGTTTGTCATATAGGAGTGGTCTTGAACAAGAAGATATGAGGGTACTGTACAGATATCTTACGACAAGTTTGATCCCTGTCACAAACGAGGAGGTATGCTCTCTCTCTTTGCCTTTTATGTAAACTATTTGCCTTTTATTCAAATGTACCTAATTTATAGTCTACCAATGCATTCATGGTTGTAAAATTATTATTACAGCTTTGTTTCACAATTACTCAGCAGCCATTCAAAAACTTCCAGAAGTCATTATTCAGAGGACGACCCCCCGTCCTCCTAGTATCAATAGAGAGTTTAAGCTTCACGTTATACGGCAAACGGCAAACGCCAGGCAAAGAAAAATGTTACGGTATCAGGCAATAAACAGTAAAGAACTTGCTGTTTTAAAACTGAAATACATAATTATTCTTTCGACACAAGAAAGAAAATATGAAACGAAAACGTTTAACGAAAATTTTGCGTAGAAACTTCGAACCTGCCGTTTGCCGTTCCCGGAAAATGCGCAACTTAAACTCCCTATATATTCGCTGGTTTTAATTTATGCCCATTGAAATGAATATAACTGAAACGCTACCTTCAGATAAACTGCCTTATTTTATTTTGAAGCCAAATCTTGACACCCAGACTCGCGTGTTTATGTCATGATTGACTGATTGAGCTTTTCGCATGCGTGAAAAGACTGGACTAGCCTTCAAGTTTGGCTTCAAATTTCCGATTGGAGGACATTCTCGTCCCCATGCAGAGCCATTTTCACTCGGTCACTCGTTGAAAATTAGGCTCTAGGTTAGACGACTGAAGGGAGAGAGTAAGATCTGATTGGCTTCTCGGAGAACTATTATTTTGCAGATGTTGAGCAGTTTTCGCTAGGCAACATATTTCTGTCAAAATATATCAACACAAATACTTCGTTTCTTCGTATTATAAATACTTGTCTGTGAAAATTGTTACGGGTGCTGAAACGTCCCAATTCAGGAGCATGCGCTTTAGAAACTATTGCAAGTTTTCTTGCACTTCCGGTTCCGTGTATCCCAGGGCCTATGAAGGTCGCGTTAGGCCCTGGGAACGAGGATGGTTGGAGGTAGCGTTGCAGTCATATTCATTTCAAAGTTCATGCCCAAGACACATTCCGAAGTTTCGTTGCGAAATGTTGTAAAATGCGGATAATATAGCCTTGCGGAGTTTGCAATTTTCAGTCATTTTGTATTACAAATGGGAAATTGATAATCAGTTTGATCATCTGATTATCAATTTCCCGTGCGTAATACAAAATGACTGAAAAACGGCAAACTTCGCAAGGCTATATTATCCGCATTTTACAACATTTCGCAACGAAACTCCGGAATATTACTAATTTTGTGATGCTCTTTGAAGCTGTGATGAAATTTTTGTCCAGACTTGTCTAGATCAAAATTTCACTCAAAAGGGGAAAGGTCTATTGATAGCCATTAATGCGACACTGCCATTAACACATTGCAGCCTAATGAGTTAAGTTGAATTTGGTGTGTACAGTACAGTAACTGTTATGTAATGTTGTCTAGTGGATCATTTATGATAAACAGATGGTCGCTCGAGGAGAAAACACTACTTCAAGAAATCATCGCGGAAGGTATATATTTTGCTTCTGTGGCCATACAGATTGTGAAAGAATAGAGCGGGCTTTGCTGGAAAAGTCCAGGCAAACGACAGGGACAAATTTAAGCTTGCTAAAGGGGGCACGTTTGAATTATACCCGGATGTAAAACCAAGAAAATCTATTTCTTTTTTTTACCTTTTCCCTACAATTCAAGTATTCAATCCTTGTTTTATCAACAGTCCTGACGGTTTCACATTTATTTGTGGCGACTTTTGAGGAATTTCTATTTTATATCGTGGAAAATGATAAAAGTTTGGACGTGCCGAAGTCACGAAAAAAACACCGCTCTGCAACATCGAAAAAAAAGCACTTTAAAACATTTCTACCGTTCCAAAACTTGTTTTGTATTAAAGTCCAGGTATTCTTGTTGATTTTGAACTTTTAATCCTTGCTTAAACTATGTTAGAATGTTTTCAAAGTTGTATTATTTTCCTAATTTTCCACTCCTCCTAAACATCGCGGCTTTCCATCCGGGAATGAGAATTTACATCCGGGCAACTAGATTCTAGAACAACTCTATTCCTTTATAATCTCTATGGTTAAAGCCGGATTATATATTTAACAATTAGTCACCGAAGTCACAGAATAAGAACGTACAGCAGAAGTGCAACTCAAGTATTTGTCCGCGTTTTTACAAGCGATTCTTTCATCAATCACGCCATCCTGGCTAGTACAACCGGCACTTTGTACCTACCAAAACATGATAAAAACTTCCGGTTGTACTAGCCAGGATGGCGTGAGCGAGTTAAAATTTTCGTGGACGTAAAACAATAAAGGAATTGACTCAAGTTACACTTCTGCTGTACCTTCTTATTCTGTGCCGAAGTGGAGGTGAATAGCGCAAGGTCACCGGCACCAAAAGTCAGTCAACGCTCTGCCGAAAGTCGTGGGTTTTCTCCGGGCGCTCCAGTTTCCTCCCACAGGGAGAGTTGACAGGGTGGGTTGTGATTAACACAGTTAAGAAAGTAATATCACAACAGACAGTTCCAGCTATCGGCTAATTTTTTATCTAGATAAGAAAGACGAACTATATCATTATAGCTCGAAAGAGCATCCTAAAATTAGTAAAATCGCAAAGTTTGGTTGCGAAATGTTGTAAAATACGGAAAACATAGCCCGGTAAAATTAGCAAATTTTCAGTATTTTAGTATTACGCGGGGTAAAAATAACCACTTTCGGCTCAAAAATGGTGCATTTTTACCGCGCGTAATACTAAAATACTCAAAACTTGCTTATTTCACAGGGCTATATTTTCCGTATTTTACAACATTTCGCAACAAAACTTTGCAATTTTAATAATTTTAGGATGCTCTTTTCAGCTATAATGATATATTTCGTCTTTCTTGTCTAGATAAAACATTAGTCGATAGCTGGAATTGTCTATTGTTGTAAAGTTAAGATAGTCTACAATCCTGGTCAATAATGTTGGCGCACTTGACACTGACTGTGCGAAATTTGACTCCCACATCAATAACAAGCATAGCAACCCCCCCCCCCCCTTCCCCCGTTCAATGTTGTGTGTAGTGTGTTATACGTCCAAGGTGTTACACAACATTGATAAGGGGGATAGGGGGTGTTTGGACATGAAATTTTGCATAAAATGGGCAAGTATGTATATGCTAAAACTGTCTGTACCAGTGTTGGTAGTACCAATGTGAAAATGCTGTGCTGAGTGGTTATATTACTACCTTAAAAAATAAGCAGAAACTCGACGTTGGAGACTTGACGAAGGGTCTTCGCTCGAAACGTCGAGTTTCTGCTTATTTTTTAAGGTAGTAATATAACCACTCAGCACAGCATTTTAAGTATGTATACAGGGTGTATCGAAATAAACGCAATTCATCTTTTGTGCTTAATAATTTTCGAAATACTATTTCTAGCTAAACGCTTTTAGGCTTACTTCAAAGCCTGTTCTTTTCTCTTTCAAACAAACTATTATCCTTGTCTCCAATGCTAGTAATAATTGCACAAGAAAAGATTTAGTAAAACCTATCATTTTTAGTTGCTGTTTAATTATGCAAGTTTACTACGTTATTGTTTAGTCAGTTTAAATGTTAGAATTTTCTTCTTTAAACTTTAATGTTGTCGTCACTACATCTGGAAAACCACGTAAGAAAAAATTTAAAGTATTTTAAAAGAGACCAGGTTGTTTGAAAATCCTAAACGAATTCTAAAAATCGTCAAAACATTCTGGTGTCTGAGCCAGAGTGTCATCGAACTGCGATGTAATGTAAACAGAAATTATAGCAAGTTGATGTCAGTCAGCTTAGATGGTCCAAGCCAAAATTATATCGCATTTGAAGTTTCAAACTCTGTTGAAAATAGTGGAAGAGAAGCCGTAATTATACTTATTGTTACAATCCATTTAATAAAATGCAACATTTTGTTGTTTTAATGAAAAAATCAGTTATTTTCATGAGAACGATTTGTTATTCCATCTCAATTTTTTTAATCTCCAATCGCAATAACGTAAAGTATTATTAGCCGCGAACCAATGAGTCAAATTTAAGAAACAGCCCACTGTTAGAAAGCTGAATGGCTACGCTTTAAAATGAATGTAAACTTTAACGTTTTCGTCTATTATTTGTTTAGCAATTTACATTTCAGTCGAGGATTGCGCTTTTTTTGATACACCCTGTATATGGTAATCAGAAATGAAGTAAAGGTTATGCTATTTCGACTAAGTGCGCCAAAAAATTTTTGACCAGGATTGAATCCTGGTCAATAATGTTGGCGCACTTGACACTGACTGTGCGAAATTTGACTCCCACATCAATAACAAGCATAACACCTTCCCCCGTTCAATGTTGTGTGTAATGTGTTATACGTCCAAGGTGTTACACAACATTGATAAGGGGAATAGGGGGTGTTTGGACATGACATTTTGCATAAAATGGGCAAGTATGTATATAGTAATCAGAAAGGAAGTAAAGGTTATGGCTATTTCGACTAAGTGCGCCAAGGATTTTTGGCCAGGATTGTAGGCTAACTATGTAATTAGGTAAGCGTAATACTTGATGTAAAGCGCATTTGATCATACCCACATGTCAATTTTTGCGCTATTGAAATGCTAATCATAATCGTAAAACCGTGTGTCTCCATTGTGTTATCCTGTAATAATATAATGCATTTCAGGTTCGTAACATGTCCACCGGAAGTGATGGATGAGGTGCGCGGACCTCCACGTAAACTACCTCGGATATTTATTGAAGAAGAAGATGGCCTGAAGGAATTCTTTCTTGTTGTTTACCAGGTGCTTATCTTACATTGCTTCCGTTTACGTACCCCTCCTAGTCTTGGCAAAGTAGGTTTGCCAATTTTCTTTTCAAATCCTTTTTTTTGATATTGTCAAACAAGACTACAGACTAGTACCTTGCTGCCATAGTCGTTACGCACTTGGTAAGCGGTCCCACACTGAACTACGATCAAAGCTCCACGACCTCCCATACCCCCACCCCCTATCTGATCAGGTATATGGTGATCTGATCTTTCCGTCGTGTAGTTAGTTGCACTAAGTAAGGGATCCATTGTTAGTACTCTTCTCTTGTCTTCGGTGGTGATGATTCCATTAATCTTTACTTTTTAGGCTCTGGACGCTGTGGTATGCTTGCTTGTGGCAGGTACACTACTGTATTGATATTACCAATTTCGTCATGTTCTTTTTAGCTGTGGTGTTTGATTCCCTTCTCTTCAGTTAGATTAAAATTTAGTCTAACATGCAA